GGGGGGGCAGTGGGCTGTAATCAGATTTTCAGGGCTAATAGATAAGCTATTGTCAAAAAAAGGCATTGTTAGCTAAACAATGGACATTGCAACTAGAGACATTTAACCAATCAAAAAATGTTAATAAGAATAAAGCGTGGGGTGTGGAGGTTGGGGCTTGTCCTTTGAATGCACCTTCAAGGGCAAGATGGAACACCAGTCCTTTAAATAACATGCTTGGAAGATGCCTCAGTATGATCTTCATGGAAAGCATCAGTGAAACTGTATTCTGGCATCACGTATCTTAGATGTGTAATTGATTTGTTAACTTTTGCATTTTTCTTGGCTTAAATACATCAACAACACCCCAATCAGATTAATTTCAACTTGTAAAAATGTTTTTCTAGGTAGTTTTTGTTGGGTATCTAATTATTATTCAGCCATAACAGACCTGAAGTAGCAGCCAAAAGAGATTGAAAAGATACAGGAAAGATTAAAGAAAAATAAGCTAAAGCCCTCAACTTTGTACACATTGGCCAGTGTAACAGTTTAATAGAATAGTTTGTGAGCTTCTTTTTTGCAGTACCATACTCTATTGTCTTAAAAGTTGAATAAAATGTAAAAACAGAGTGCACAAAAACACTTCAAAACAACAACCCTACATTTCCTGAACCCTCTCTAATCTCTGTATCCCCAACAATTCACAAACATTTCAAATATAGACTTCAGGTAGGTGTTTGATAGAAATTGGCTAGTTCCGGGACAGCACATGAGCACTTGAATAGCTGTCAAATAGGAAAACACAATGGAGATATTGTACAATAAGAGTGTATTAAATAGCTACAAATATTGTTAAATGGCTGAACAGTATGTAAGCAGCTTAGTAAGGCTGCAATGTAAGAGGTAGAGATGAAGCAAGTTTTATCTTGAAATAAATATTAGAGTGTATTATTTAAAGGGACAATAGCCATAAATATTGTGGAGTGGCTGAACAGTGTGTACATAGCTTGGTAAGGTCATAATGTATCTTGATACGTTAAATGGCTGAACAGTATGTAAGCAGCTTGGTAAGGCTGCAATGTAAGAGGTAGAGATGAAGCAAGTTTTATCTTGAAATAAATATTAGAGTGTATTATTTAAAGGGACAATAGCCATAAATATTGTGGAGTGGCTGGACAGTGTGTACATAGCTTGGTAAGGTCACAATGTATCTTGATAAAAACATTAGAGTGCATTATTTGAGAGGCAGTATGTAAGCAGCTTATTAGGGCACGTTTTAACTTGAAATAAACATTAGTTTTTCTTATTTGAGAGAG